GGGTATTGCGTAGACCTTAACGCGCGCCCTGCTTATTTGCCCTGGAGGCCGTGGTACTGTCTGTGAAAAGCCAACCGGGGCTAGAATATTTCAGATGCCATTTAAACGGCTTTATAATAATGTCCACTAGTCGTTGCACCGATCGAAACTATACTGACACGTTTGAAATCGGTAGATAGTGCTGGCGGCAGAGACGTAAAGAGTCCGCTCATGGCCATCGTCGGCCCTATTGGTAACTCGGAGCGGACTTAGCTCAATCACGTTGTGTCCATGAATCATTTGGAGCACCTTCCAGTAGTTTATAAATGCAGAAAAGCTATGCCATGCAGCGAAATTCAAGATTTCACAGCTGACGGCCGGAAGGTAAATGGAAGTGAATGCTTGGCTGGAAAGGCAATATGTAAACTGGCGCTGCCTGCCGAGAACTAGGCAGAGGAACGCATCAAAAAGACATGTCGCCCATACTCATTTTGCATTTCGTTTTTTACTTGGTTGCCATAGGATAAATCTCAACAATTTTGGAAGGGGGGGGGCGAAGTGCCATGAAACGTAGAGATCCCACGTTTCTACGCTTGCAGCCCAAAAGGCACAACGTGATTGATTTCCCCGTCCCAAATGTGATGGCTTCTCTCTCATGTCATGCGTGACTATTACACCAGATTTTTCAAACAAACACACGTTTCATGACATTCACATATAGCTGCATGCGAACCTCGTGTCATGCTCACAGGCGGGTAGGTATTGCGTCGGCCTGAACGTACGCTGGTTGTTTGTGCCTAATAGCCAGTGTTTGTCCGCGGTAGTAATCTGCCCAGCGATGCATATTGCATTTATTCTCTGAGCATTTTTAAAATGGTTTTAACATTATTCAATACTTCAGCATCATTCAACACTGTGAACTAATGATTTCTGACATTGATATATGCTTACGACCACCCATTACATGATAAATGCACATGGATGTTAATGCACCCATTAGTATATTAGAAGCATGTAGTATATATATATATATATATATATATATATATATATATATATGCATATATACATGTATATATATACATATCTATGTATATATCTGGGTATCGTTATTTTTGACGACAGACAGACGAATCTCGCAAAACTTGCACGCCTGCTTCGTTGTGCGTTGGTGCGATACGGGTTGGAGTGTAATACGTGATCAGTGGAAATGGTGTTCTCATGTTGCTCTGGGCCTAACACGGACTTTACGCCTCCGTGTGCCCCATCACACATCACGCTAATGATCTTCGCAATGTTGTTGTCAATTGGCTGACCTCATCCCTGCTGCCGTTGCATGGGAAGTCAAGGAGTGCTGAAAAGTAAAATGCTCCATAATGGCAGTTCAACCATCAACATGAGCTATCAGCACCATAAAACCGCATTAACAGTACAGAACGAGCAATACCATATACTTGGCGGTTCGTCAGACCCCAGCCGTACAGCCATTCTCGTCATTCCGATACTCTGTTGTGCATAGGCTATTAGACATATGGTGGGTCATCCGAACTCGCAATTACCTACCACAGATCAAATCAAGGTTAATAACTGTATTCAAGGCCGGTAAACAATGCACGCTTCACCGTCTCTATGCATAACTAGTCATTTTTCGTCATTCGTCATTTGCCTCCATGCATGAGCCCCTGTATGGTAGTTTTTCCGTGCGGATCTGATTGCGTACCATTTCGGTATATGGCTGGAACCCCCTTTACATCTTCCGCAATATTATTTATACGTCTATACAACTGGTGCCTCTTTGGCGCGAGACATGCGCGCACTGGCCTATGGTGTCTGCCCTCTCCCCACCCAGTCTCCAAGTGCACGCCTCCTCAAAATTAACGGACACGCACCATTCGCTCCTTCTCTCGCGACGCATCATCCTTAGTACCTACAGTATCATAATACTCTGGCATTTGACGGGGTGTTGCTACATACGGTCCGCTGCTAGACGCCTAACGCCTACTCTATCGCGCACCCTATTTCAAGAGAATTTGCAATAAGTACCACAAAACTGCTCTCTGCTGCCTTCGCCCTGAGCACACCTCCATTACCAAAGACTTCGTAAAACAGTGGAGCGAACTGTACTTATGCAAAACTTTTGCTATCTCGTCCACATTATGCATTCCTGTATCATTGTCATACATCCCTCGGTCTCATTCAATGCCGGGTTCACCGCAATCTGGCCTATGCTGTTACGGAGATCGATGGCCTTGGCCGATCAGCTGATCGCTCGCGCCAAATCGCCTGTCGTCAAGCGCGTGCACTTTGGCGCGTGTATGAAGATGTTCTTATTGGTCGGGCGGGAGAAGTTTCAAAAGCGTCGAAGCCAATCACCGGACCGGACTGCGGATAGATCACGACTTGGCGCATGGGCTGGTCTTTGGAGGCGGGATCTAGGTGAGGTCAAGCAAGGAGCAGGCAAATATGGAGGGAACCGAACATATCGCCTGCCATGGCTGCAATTATAACAACATTACAATTGGCTTGTCACGAAGCATCACTGCTGATAGCCAATGCAGCAATAACATAAAGTGCACGACACAGCAAGAAGAGGCACTTTCGATAAGTTTCACAAGAGCACCATGTATACAATTTCGCTATCATCATGGAGACAGTGGAACTATCCCTCCTGAACAAAATGCCATTCGGGTGTACCCACTCGGAGTTAGCAATAGGGCCGATGCTAGGCGTAAAGTGAACTCTACATTTCGGCCGCCGGTATCATTTGTCCATTTCAAACGTAACAATATAACTTCTATCGGTGCAACGACTAGTGGACATCATTCTAAAGCTGCTTAAAAACGGCATCTGAAATATTTTAGCCCCGGTTTGCTTTTCACGGGCAGCACCACGGCGAATTGGGCACATAGCCAGGGCGTGCGTCAAGGCCTAAACAATACCCACACTCCTGCGAGCGTGAAACACGGCGTGCATGCGGCTACATGTATATACCAGGAAAGGAACGTTTACCTGAACAATCAAGTCCAACGTTCACATACGACACGCGGAAAAGCAGCATGCATCCCAACGAGCGCACCAGAGAAGCAGAGTTAACAATAGGGCCGGTGATAGGCATGGGCGTACTCTTTACGTTTCGGCCGCCAGTATTATTTGCCCATTTGAAACGTGTCAGTATAGTTTCCATCGGTGCAACGATAAGTGGAAATCATTACAAAGCTGTTCAAACAGCATCTGAAATATTCTAGCCCCGGTTGGCTTTTCACAGGCAGTACTACGGTCTCCAGGGCACATAACCAGAGCGTGCGTTAAGGCCTACGCAATACCCACGCGGGCCTTCGAGCGTGAAACATGGTGTGGATGCGGCTAAATGTATATACCATGAAAGGCATGTTTACCTGAAAAATCGAGTCTAACGATTGCATATAGCACGTGGAAAAACGGTACTTACCCCAACAAGCGCATAATAGAACAAGAGTTACCAATAGGGACGGAGATAGGCTTAAAACACAGCTCTTTACGCATCGGCCGCCAGCATGGTCTGTCCAAATCAAACGCTTTCTTAAAATGGTGTTGCTGATAGTCGCATCGATTGGAAGTTAATTGGCACGTTTGAAATGGGTGTACAGGGATGACGGCCGAAAGGCAAAAATTGCGATTATGCGCATCAACGGCCATACTATTGACTCGAAGTGGACTAACCTACAAGGCATTTTGTTCAGAAATAATTTCAAACACCCGGCAGTCGTTTCCAAACGCATCAAAGCAACGTCACGCATTGAAATTGGAGAGTTCAGAGCAGACAGCCGGAAGGTGAATTGAAGAGTTGGGCTGCAAAGGTATACAAGGTCCGGCGTTGGCACCCGAAACATTGACGGAGGAACGCCTGAGAAAGCAAAGGTGCTTATAGTAATATTGTAGTCGATTATTCCCATCCATTGCCATAACGTTAATGCCTAACTTACAATCTCAGAGTGTCTAATGGTGAGCGTGCCATAACACTCACGGAACCCGCGTTTCAAGTCTAGGAAAAACCATTGCCGTCTAAATCGTATCAAAATGGTGTCCGCCAGTGGTTGCACCGACGAACATGATTTTGAAATGTTTGTTAAAGACCGATAACGCTGGGAGCCGAAAACGTTGAGTCAGTTCATGCCTTTTTCCGGCCCCATTGGCAACTCAGTGTGGACATGCCTGAATGCGGTTTGTTCATGGATTACTTGGACCTCCTTGCAGTAGTTTCTTGAGAAAGCCTACTGGGAAAGGTGGTTTTTCGCCATTATCAGGTTCGCCAGTGATACGAAGCGAAGACCATAACTCGTATCACGTGACGTCATGAGCAGTAGGTAAAACGCAGCTTTTTTATTCGTTTGTTTTTTCAAATAGCATAAGAATGTAAACCACGAATACATAGGTAGATGCACGCACACCGTAACGGTGTCCCGGAACGTGGTGAGCAGCGAGAAAACAGCCCGAAAAACGTGTCCCACTGAAAGTTTTCAACTGATGACCAATTCATTCGTCCCGGTGACGTCATCAGTGGGATGCAGGACATGTGTTATTACGAACACCTCCTTGGTTTTCAATGTTGTCATCATAAGTGGCTGGTGAATCCTTGTAATATTGCGAAATGTAAAAAAAGATCCATTTTTTCACATTTCTACCAGTGACGTCATGGGCAGCACAAAACTTGTCATTGGGATGATTTGCCCGGCCTGGCAGCGACGTTTTGTCAGCTGATTAGCCGGTCCTCATTACAGACCTAAGCCGATGCTCTTCCCTCCGCAAACATTGTCGGCCGGAAGGTAAAGAACACTAGGAGGAGTTTCAAATAATTCAATTTCAAATAATTCTTGTGAAAAATGTTTCTAGGAGTTTGATCTTAATGCTCTCAAGCATTGCCCCTCCATGTGCTGAAATTGATGGTGACTGCACTATATTCTTGAATGTTCAGACGTGTGGTATATCTGTGCAGAACTGTTTTCTCCAATGTGGCTGCCAAGGCATAGATACGTGGTATTGAGTGCATTTTTGCAGTCTGGTTTTGTGGTTCATGGGATTATTTCCAAGGGTAGAATTGATAAACACTGGATGCCAGAAGAACCAGAAAAACATTTTTATTTACCTCAGATGACCAAATCTAGAATTGCTGAAAATACCTTTCATGCCACATGCCCAGCATAGTAAGGATGTGTCATAAATTTGATAGCATGTTGACCATAAATGGGATTGCTTTGAAAAAGTTGCTGACTGCCAGTGGTGTCTTCAAGTTCACATAGTGAGCAATGGCATAGCCAAGAAGAGTCCTTGGGATCATGCCCCTGGATGTGGTGGGGGTTACATAGTGTCTAAAGGCACAGTCCTTTTGGGCTTTTGATTCTCATAGGGCATCTAAAATTCAATGACAGGCACCTGGAGCATCAAAATGGAATATGGAAGCAGGGCCCAGATGATGGCTGCAATAAAGAGGATATGGTATTGAGGTGTGCCCCTTTACCCTAATTTCCAAAAATCCAGACACCCTTGAGATGTATGTTGCACATCACACCACAAATTTGTGTGATATGAACATCATCTATAATTGCTGTATGCTTTTACCATGACCTCTCTTGTTATTAAAAAGAGCTCCTAACAGGCCCTCCCTCAACAGGCTGCTAAGATAGCTGGGACTCCTCTGCTCTGCCATGACAGCACCACCAGCACCAGGTGTGCTCCACCCTGGTGCATTTCGCCCTGGGGCTGTGGCGCTGCCGTCATCGCTGGTAGAGGTCTCCATCTGCTGCAGGTACACCCTCCATATTTACCCATTATTCAGCAAGCACACTGCTGTGCTCATGTGTGGTGCAATGTCAAAACTTTATCACATGCCTTCCCAATAAGACATATATGGTTTGTATGACACAATTGTTGTGCTCTGTAGGGTTTCTTTTATCCAAGGGCTTCACATCTTGATGCTTCCAAATATAGCTATGTTTGCTCATAAAGTGCTGAAGAATGGCTCATCAGCCATGTTTGTGCCACCAGTGGTCTCCGAGACCTGGACATCATGTCAAAATCGGATCCGTGCTGCATTCTCTACCTGGCTGAGGGCATGGCCACACAATTTTTTGAGGTGGGGCGAACCGAGGTCATCAAGAACAACCTGAACCCAGAGTTTGCCACCAAGTTCCAGATCAGCTACAAGTTTGAAGAGAAACAGGTTTGTGGCCACCAGCCTTCCAAGCAGTGCACATGCACAGGACGGGTCACCTCAACAGAGGCCCTTGCAACAGGAGCAGTGTGTTGACCCAGGCTAGAAGTGTCTGCCTTAGCGGCTGTGGCGTGAATGCGGTCCCTGGATGTTACAGGTTTTTTTAAGATGCTTGTGCAGCTGGGAATGCTGCTTTTTGCCCCGGCAGGTCAGCCAGATGACTGTCTGCCGGTTGTGCCCTGTAGTGTTGTGCCGGGTGCTCCTTGGTTTTTGTGAACCAGGAAGTAGCTGGGGGCTAGGTGCCTTCTGAAGGCCTTATCACAGAAACATTGTAAACAACTGGTAATGCACAGACTACAGAATGTATAACACTGTTAAAGAGCTATGTGCTTAAGCAAAACAGAAGGTTTCATCAGGTGCCAATAACTGGGACATGCTGGTTATCTCACCATCTCCAGAAACTCGTGCGGACTGATAGTAAAGAGATGTGCACTGTGTGCTGATGTGCACTGTCCCAGTGATGTGACATGCTCGTTTCGCCCAAACAGCGGCTCAAGTTTGATATCTACGACTGGGACGTGAAGGTGGCGTCGGTGCAGGAGCAGGACTTTCTGGGCCGGGTGGAGTGCACCGTCGGAGAGCTGGTCTCGGCTCCCAACAGGAAGGTGACTAGTGCTGCCCAGCCACCAGCTGGATCTGGGGTTAGGGGAGGCGGGGGAGGGCATCCAACTAGTGGAATCAGTGAGCGAGCAGTTGTCAGCCCTTTGGCTGTGTTCCCTTGAAAGGCTACGGACGTAACCTTTCGCCTGCATTTTCCTGCCAATTTTCGATAATCTGTGTTCTGCCTTCTGACCGGCTCGTCAGTCGAAAGGCAGACGTCTGTCCTTCAGAGTCTGTGCGTCAGCTCACTTCGTGGTTCGTTTTCTTGGAAAGCGATGACTGTGAGCGTCAGTGGTCGGCATGCACGTTCCGCGGCCACCGCATGGGGTAACCCAGCGCGTTCGGTCTCAGTTCCAGAGGAAACTGTCGGAAAGCTCTGGCGTGCTGTCCGTCACGGCCGAGGAGCTGGCTGCCTGTCGCGAGGTGCTCACTCTCTCTCTCTCAGCGCGCAAGGTCGACAAGAAAGACTTCTTCAGCAAGAGCGACCCCTTCCTGGCCATCAGCCGCGTCAACGAGGACAACTCGTATACGGTGGTGCACCGCACCGAAGTGGTGAAGCGGAGCCTCAACCCTGACTGGCGCTCGTTCACCGTGCCCCTGGTGAAGCTCTGCAACGGCGACAAGCAGCGCTCACTGCGGCTGGAGTGCCTCGACTGGGACAACGACGGCAGCCACGACTCGATCGGCGCCTGCCACGCGAACGTGGCGCGCCTGGTGCAACCCGCCTCTGCCGCCGCGCCCAACACCTACGCGCTGATCAACGAGCGCAAGAAGGCCAAGAAGCGACGCTACAAGGACTCGGGCACGCTCGTGGTCAACTCGGCCCGCCTGACGGTGCAGGTGAGCCTGAACGGCCGCACTCTGGGGAGCGGGTGCGAGGGCGCAGCCAGTCACTGCGCGCGGCACCGGCGCCTCGTGCGCTGCGCCGTGGGGCGCCGCGTCCGCTGCGGGTACGCGCCCGCCCCTGAGGCTGGGTCATGTCGCGGAGTGGCGTGCCCGTGACCGGGCTGTGACGCCAATCTGTCGTCGTTGCCAGGCGACGTTCCTGGACTACATCCAGGGCGGACTGCAGCTGCACTTCACCGTCGCCGTCGACTTCACCGCTTCCAACGGCAACCCGGCCGACCCGCGGTCGCTGCACTACCGGGACCCGCGCGGCGCCGACAACCAGTACGTCACGGCCATCCGCGCCGTCGGAGACATCATCCAGGACTATGACAGCGGTGGGTGCCGGTGCAGGGAGCGCGGCGGGTGTGGCGGGGAGGGGAGGGTGACGCTGCGGGCGGGCGGGCTGGGTGGAGGACGCCGGACGGAGGATGCTGGCGCAGGGCGAGTGCCGCACCGGGGGCGGAGGGATGCCGTGCGGCGGCGTGAGGCGGTGTGCGCGTCCTGCTACGGCTGTTGGTGGAGGACGAGATCTGCTGTGGAAACGAACCCGCTGCACAGAAGGTAGAGAAGGTGGTGGCGTAGATAAGAAGAATGTGTTGTGGTGCGTTGTCGGTACAAGGGCCACTGCGTGGGACACCTTTCGGTCTCACAGAGTGGGCGGAGCGCCCTTGACGCCGACAGCATTGAGAGCTGTTGGGCTAGGTGCGGGCAGGGGAACCGGCGCTGGGCGCGGACTGTGCTTAAGGTCAACTGCTTTCTTTCCTAGTCAGGTGGAGTGTTGTAGCGCTGCCTTTGTAGTGTAGAACCCATAAGTGTGCCTTGGTTATTGCTGTCTGTGAAGGGCGTCCAGGGGGCAATGTGTGCACATGAATGTGTGGTGACATCTCTGGCATCCTGTTATTGACGTCTGCGCTCAGAGGTCTTAGCTGCGTTCTGTAGTGCACTGAGCTGGAGCAGCCTGGCTGGAACACACCCACTTGGCATGGCCAGTCGTAGCGAGGGCCGCCCGCCTCTGCTGCGGCCGGCGGCGTCGCCTCAGCTGACCGTGACGGGCCTGCGCCCCCGGCAGACAAAATGTTTCCCTGTCTGGGTTTCGGGGCGCGCGTGCCGCCGACCGGCCAGGTGTCGCACGAGTTCTTCCTCAACGGCCACCCGACGGATCCGTACTGCCGGGGCGTGGACGGCGTGCTACAGGCCTACTACAATGCCCTGAACACAGGTGAGTGGGAGGCGCCGCGCCAGCACGCACGGCTCAGGGTGCGTTTCACACGAGACAAGTGGGTGGGATGGGGCTGTCGTCTCGAGGCCGGCTGTCTACATATGGGGTCTCGTATTAGAGCAGTTTGCCTGCGACAGGGAGGCACATGCCGATCTCAGCACCCGGACTGAGCGGGCTCCGAAGAACCGATGGTCATGTATGACAACGACCGACTGTACCTTCGCGTGTAATGTGCAGCTGGCAGCTGTAGGTTGTGTCCGAAATAAGTGCTGTATAGAATAGGACGTGTCCTAGCGCGTATGCGTGTGAAGTCGTCTTGCAAAGACGGGATATTTCGTCGCCATTCCATTTGTGAATGTGCGGTGTCCAGACGGTGGCCAATGTATCCTTGGTTTAGAAACACTGTCCGTCCTGATAGCTCAATTGGTTAGATGGTCTGCTTTTCAATTCGCCCACCCGTTGTGGGGTGGATTCGAGTGGCCTCGCGTGCTCGCAATCCGCCCCTACTGAGACGGCTTGCGTTCGGTGATTGCGGCCGTGCTAAAGGTCAGATGACGTCAGAGGACGGACGGGCCGTGCCGAGCATTGCGGCACATCAAGATTTCGCCGTAAAATTACGTCGTTGACCGGGAATGTCACGATCGCATGGCGGAGTCATGCAGCAAGCACTGCCCAGCGTCGGCGCTGATTCCAGAAATTCGTCCAATGGAAACACGAAAGCGAAAAACCGTATTTTCAGACCTCGTACGTCATTGCGTCTCACTGTGAGCGCAGACGGCATGTTACGGGCGAAAAAGCTATCACGAGCAATGCATGAATAGCCGTAAGCCTAAAATGTCTGCCTTACGGCGCGCACTGATGTTCAGTAACGAAAATCGGGGCGCCACACATGAAGAGATGACGTGGGCCCGCGAAGCACAGCTGGCAGAGCGTTTTTCCACGATGTGCGCGAGCTTGTGGCTGCCGGCCGGACTGACGGTCTGGTGTTCCGTCTTCGCCGGCCACGGTCGGCGCGGGGGCTGCGGCGCCCTGCGACCACGGATGTGGAATGCGCTGTTAAGTGTCCCGGAAACCTTGGGCTGTCGCCTGTGGCTAGCTAACCAGACGAGCGGGAACGATGTTGGCGACAGGAACCTTATTTGTTTTACCGCTCACTTGTTTGGCTATGTAGCCCATTCACGTGATTTTGTAAGATCTCGTCGGTTTGTCTTTCAACTGACTTGCTTGTGCCACGCGTGTCGTGCGTTTCATGACCTGATCGTGTCGTTGACCTGACCTGACCGTGTGTTACAGTTCAGCTGTACGGACCCACGTGTTTTGCGCCGGCCATCCGGCACGTGGCACGGTTCGCCAGCACCTGCGAGCCGGGAAAACACTACTTCGTGCTGCTGATAATCACGGACGGCATCATCACAGGTCGGTAGTCGTGGCGGACGGCAGCGCCGGTCCACAGTTGTCCGTCGGTGGCGGGAAGCCAGGTCACTCCGGCGGTGCTCTGCACGGCGGTGTGATCACCTGACGCTGTGCTGTGTCCGTGTCAGGCGGAAGTGTACTGTGAGCTGGTATGCCAGGTCGGTCTGATCTGCGGTCTGTTCCGGCCGTCTCAGCCAGTGTCGGCTTCTCCACGAGGCCGAGACTGGCTCTCGTCTGTGTCGAGCTGTTCCGGTATGGCTTGTTAAGTGGACCGCGCTCCGAGCCGGCGGCGTCTGCCAGCCGCCTGCAGCGCCACCGCCGCCCGCCGCCCCCGCCGCCCCCCGCCGCCCCCCGCCGCCCCCGCCGCCCCCCCCGACCGTTTGGCACGCCGCCGCCCGCCGCCCGCCGCCCGCCGACGGCTGTGCGCCCCGCCCGCAGACCAGCCAGACACGGTGGCGGCGCTAGTGGACGCCTCGGCCCTGCCCATGTCCGTCATCATCGTGGGCGTCGGCAGCGAGGACTTCTCGGCCATGGAGTACCTGGACGCCGACAACCAGCGGCTGCGCGACAGCCGCGGCCGCGCCGCCGCACGTGACATCGTCCAGTTCGTCGGTACGTGGCGCGGCCGTGCCGGCGCCTTGGGCCGCCGCACACGCTCTGTGGGGACGATGAGCGACACCTGAGGCGGCTGCTCGTCTTCAGCCTGTACGACTGCCACGCTTGGGGCTTGCCATGACTGAAGCGCCGCTGTACAGCTAAGAGCCTAGGTAGGACCGATGTGGCTGGGCCGACGTGCAGAAGCTGGGTACCACTGCTTCCGAGTGTGTCGCTGCGGCTGGTCTCGTTTGGTCCTCAGCGCTCTGTTATAACATGTGCACCCACGCCGCGTGGGTCCACCGGCACCAGCCGCCATGAAATGTCGCTGTGCACGACGCTGCTTGTGATTCTTGTATCCTTCCCCCCCCCCCCCCCCCCCGGTCACCAGGGCTCCCCGTATCCGCCACCTGGTCACATTAAACTTCTCTGTATCCGTTTCTCCGGGTCACCATTGCTCCCTGGGTTCGTTCCCTGTTCATCAGGGCTCTCTGTACCTTTGCCCCGGTCATAGAGGCTTCATGTGCCTGTCGTCTGGTCACCAGGGTTTGGTCTGTCCTTCCCCCGGGTCACCAAGGCTCCCTGTATTGCCAGAGCTGCGGCGGCACCTGGGTGCGACTGGCGGCGGCGGCGCGCCCGGCTCTGCCCGGGACCGGCTGGCTCGCGACGTGCTGGCCGAGCTGCCCAGCCAGCTCACCGAGTACATGCGCTCGCGCGGCCTTCGGCCCGGCACGGCGTCAGGCACGGCGCCGCCGCCGCCGCCCGACCCCAGCGGCCCCACTGTGCTGACGTACTAAAGCAGGTGTGTCCTGATCCCCGCCCTCCGCCGCCTCCCTCGTGACCCCGGCAGCCCCACCGTGCCGACGCACTGAGACAGATGTGTTCCGATCCCCGCCGCTCCCCCCCCCCCCCCCCCCCCCTACTGTTTCCTATCTCCCTCCTGCCCCCGGCGGCCCCACGCTGCAGACATACTGAGGGAGGTGCGTTCCAATTCCCACCTCCACCCCCGCCGCTGCCTTGCTCCTGACCCAGGCAGCCCCACCGTGCTGACGTACTGAGGAAGGTGCGTCCCGGTTCCCGCCCCCACCTCGCCGCTGCCTTGCTCCTGACCCCGGCGCTAGACCGCTTATTCGCCTTGCGACGTTTGGTTGGTGTGCGGCGATCAATGCTAGTATCCTCGCACACCTCGCATCTCTGTGGAGATTCAAGGAGGATGGGGACGGTTGTACAGAGTTTGTTCTCTGTCAGCTATGGAAGGTTGTTCTGCTTTAGTGGTTCTGTTTAAATGGCTTGATGGTACGTTTCTCCTGTGGAGTTTTAAGGACAGGTTGAAGATTGTTTTACTTCCTACTGCGCAGCGCGCACATAGAAATGGTGACCGAGTTGCTCGTCGTTAATGCCGCGCACCCGTGTACTGTATCTGACCCCGCAGCGGTTTCTGCGGCCTGCTGAGTACATGTGGCACCATACGGCCCATGAGGCAGCGGGCTGCTCGTGGTGTGGCGTGGTGGGGTGGTGCGCGGGCCGAGGCCGTCCGCGCACCGCGAGCTGTCCGGCGCGGCCGTCCGACCGGGCACCCACCGTCCTTCAGAGCTGCAGCGGGCGACCGGACAGCACGCGCCGGGCCCGGCGGCGCAGGCGGCGCTCGCCGACCTCGTGCTGACCGAGCTGCCGGGCCAGGTGGTCAGCTACATGGCTCAGCACGGCAAGACAGCGCCCCCGGCGGCGACCTGATGAGACACGTCCACCTGCCGCTGGGGAGACGGCGGCGCGCGCCCGCCCGTCCGCTACTGACGAAGGATCTGGTGAGGTGTAGAGGGTTTTAGGAGGCCAAAGTGACATGCGAGGGGATCTGGGTCCCCTTTGATGTGCACTATTTTTTCTGACGGTACTGTACTGCGCGTGAGCTGTCACACACTGCCATCTATTGGTTTTATTAAGGACGATATTTTGCTTATCTTTTGATTGGTTATACTTTGTATCAGTTATGTTGCCGTGATGCAGGTGTGGAATTAGGAAAAAACATAGATGCGTGTGCTGGAGCAATTTAGGTGCATCCTGGAAGTCCGTGCCGTCGGCACGAATGGAAACAACATCGATTTAAGTGTCTGATCATTGGAGATGTGTCCCGGAAGCCGGCGGCCTTGGCTTGCAGTGCGGAACAACGGGCCGTAATATGTGTCAGGCTGATTCGGCCCTGCAGGGGCGTGTGACTGTCACCGACAGTGTCACTGTGACTGCGTGACTGCGTGATTGTCAGCCAGGCTGATGGCGAAGCGTTGCGTCCGTGTTCAATGTTCACGCTCTGTGTGGGTCATGAGGGAGGGGCAACCGCTGCGGCATGCGCTGTTGGGGCGTCTTGTTAGCGCGCGGCTGGTTTCGGCGGGACGCCAGTGAGAGGCGCCGCACCGGACTGCCGACGGTCTGCGGCAGGAGGAGGGGGGGGGGGGGGGGGGGGACGGCGCGGTCGGCCTGGCGAGCAGGGCCGCAACGCGGCGACCCCAGCGACACACGGCGAAATGTGGCCGAAGCTCGGACCAGAGATGCTCAGTGGAGAGAGGCTGGGTGGCGCGAAGCCGTGACGTGACCACCCCTCCCCTCAGTCTCGCCCCCCCCCCCCCCTAAGCCAAGCCCCTCCCTCTGCCATGGGGAAGTCCACTCGGAGTTGTCAGACAGACGCGAGCTTCGAATGATCAGATAGCTGAACTCTTCATAATCGGCACGGCTGTTTGTGTGAGGATTGCCTCCCGATGCTGCTGTTGCTTGTCGAGACGGCTGTACGTGTCACTGCCAAACATTTATGGTACAACGCTGTAAACCGGGCCGAACAGAGCTGGTCACGGCGACGCCACTCGGCTGTCATCACGGCATCTGGAGACCGGTGGCTGCCCCTGGTAGTGTATTCTACCTGGTGTGCCCCCGACAGTAGTTGGCCGCGTTTCCTTGAAGAGAACTGCTTAGCACAGTATGTAGTTTGCTATTCCGAGGTTATCGGTTGGAACCTTTCACATACAGCGCTTCCCGCTTTCCAATAATAGCTTGGGAGACTGCAACATCGATCGCCTAATCTGTAGCGTTTATAGGTGAATAGTTGGGAGGACAGATCGTCGGTGAACATCCATGTGTAAGATTTCATTGCTAGTGGGGCTGGCACATTGGATGTAGTTATTCGCTTCGGGTAGTGTTTTGGAGGGCGGTACATCAGGTTTTTAAGTGTCGCTGCGTTGCATCGATGCACACAACGACGCATTCCGAGTCATTTCCCGGATGGCCGTGTTGGTCGTTAAGGTGTCCCCCCACCCACCTCCCCGCCGCTGCGTCACCAGGCGCCCGCCCACTCGCACGCGCGCCCGGCATGCGTTCCACACTAAGGAGGATGTTCGTGCTGGCCTGACCCGCAGCGAACGCCGGTATCTTGAGGCGGGCTCCGCCGTTGTGACTGCCCCCATCCCACATCCAGGCTGTAGTCCGCATGTGGGCACGGAGCTCTGCCGCGTGGAAGTGATGTTAACGCTGCCGGCTCCTAAGCTGAGAGCCGACGCTCGACGGGATCCGCGCGGCGAGATGTTAGGCTAGGTGATTCTAGATGTTAGCTGTTAGCTGCATGGTCGAACCTTTCTGTTGCGTCTGGTGCGTGTGAGCGGCGTTGTCGCGTCTTGTGCTATGCGGACGGTGCCGCCCCGGGCTGTAGCGCCGGCCCTTGTCCAACAGCTGGCATGTGGGCGGTGGTGCAACATCGCTGTCAGGTTGACTGCGGTGTCCCTTCTTACGCAGACATTCCTTCCCGCCCCCGCCAAACACCCGGGCGCTGGATGTTTCTACGGCTCCCATAGCAAAGACGGCCTTGTCTCTCAAATGGCGACACCTCGTTACAGGACGTTACTCCTTCAGAGCGCTCCAGGACCGTATGATCGGCCCTCCATCCCCCTGCTGCTTTGATGATTTCCCGGTGGGCTCTGGAGCGTGTGATCGACTCCAGGTGGTTTAAACTGTGACGTGCCGCGCGGGCTGTCGTGGAGGCCGGTGCGGATCCTGCTGATGAGGTGCTGGTTGGGCTGGCGGCCCAGAGCTGTCGCTTGTGCTGGGTCGGCTGCTGTGACTAACCGCGTGGTGTGTGTTTTCACCTCGGTCGCCTGCTGGCGCCGTCGCGGGTTGTTTGCGACCATTGTGCCAGTCGAATCGTGCAAATCATTCAGTTATGTGGCTCCGGTTTCTGTCAGCGCTTTTGACTGCTTGATTTACCCATGAGCTTGAAGCGTTTGCTTATTTTGTCGATTCGTGCAATTTGACCGCAAAGTCGGAGCGATCTGTGCACAAAACGTATTTTCTGTCATTGCGACCCAAGAAATACACATTGCAACAGCAAACAATTTGTCGCCAGTCATCCAGCAAACTCCTAAATCCCGACGAATAGTTGAGACCGTTAGTTGAGAAGTGACCCCGCATTCTGAAACGTAGCGGGCCATGAGTGAAAATGTGTGTATGTGTGTATGTATGCGTGTATAGATTCGTAAAAATCCCACGACGTAGTTCTTCCGATTTCTGAGTCGGTACATTTACTCAACATTGCGACGAACTAATCAGTTAGTTCAATCGTAAATCGCGTACGAATATACCATTTTTAACAAAGAAAATCAGCTAGGCTGCACGATTTGCACAGCCTGTAGCAGAGTCGACAGATCTGCTCGCAAATGCCTCCCGATGCTGGGACTCTAACATCTGGTGGCAGGCGATTCCATGTGTAAGTGACGCAGCACACGGATGGTCAGCGGGCGAGTTCAGTTCGAACACGCGGGGTTTGTCACTAGACTTTCGCAGCCTCGCGTAGACTGGGTAGACACATCGCAGAGCAGGACCACAAGGGCGCGTAAACTGTGGCGCCGCTGGCGACCCAAAATGAGTGGTGAAGAACTTAGAGATTGCGTTGGGCCAAAAATGCCTAATTTCGGCCTCTAAAAATGCCGCTTTCAGGGCGGTAAGTACATGTTCGGACTTCTTGGTTGCGCTAATAAATGTCGCCAAAATTTAACGCTTTTGGATCCTACGTCACCGCACGCCTTGAGGCAGTATGTAATGTGGGGATAAATGAGCCCTTCAATCCATCTTTTTAGTTTCACTGGCAGCTGATGGCTCAAGGTGGCAAGACCTAAAGGGCTATAACGTTTCACATTGCCAGATATCCTACGCTCCCATTTTGGCTTAGCATCAATCATTCGAAGGCCTCAGACTTCTCTGTCTTTGATTTTGCTGAAGGTGAGGGTTTTACTTTTGTCTGCCAAAGGTTGACCTAAAAATTTCATCTAACTTCAGTCGAGGGAAGCTTACGAACAAATCAATTTTAAAAGTGTTTGTTTTGAGACGATTTTACGTACGCCAGTGCTGAGCGATGCTAACTGTTGCTGAAAGCGGAACCAGACGCCGTGTCATCACGTTTCAACGCTCGGAAAACAGCGTAGATTATTTGTCGAATCAGATGAGCCATCCAACTGATAGCAGGCCGTCAATGGCGTGAGAACATCGCCACGTTTGCAGTGCTGGAAAATCTGACAGGATCTCTGAAAGTTCTCCGCCACGCGTTCGTGACATCCCATAAAATACACAAAGCATTGCTAGCGCCAGCGGAAGCACACTGGCTTTGACAAAATAAGCTCATCCGCGCATCGCTTTTTTATTTTGCTCTCTTTCATTGACAGTGACGTTCTTATTGCAAAGGATATCAAGGCCATAAAAACAATACCGATACCAATAATGTTGACATCAGCTATGAAATCGTCCGTCGACGGTTACGGGGCTGGAGATGTACTCATTACATTACATTACTGCTCCTGAACGTGTTCCAGGACTGCAAACGCGGCCTAAATAATTCACATGCATAAACGCCGCAAACAGCCAAGTGACATCCTCGCCGAACACAGCTGCGTTCAGATCAGCACGATGCTTCCAACACTTGACGCCAGCACATCCCGACACCGCTGAGCGCGTGAGTGTTCACGCGGGGATAGGCAGACAGTCTGAGTGCTACCGCAACCGATCAGCGGTGCTCCCCAGTCACGAACGATTCCAGTGGCTGCTTCCGTTATACCACCGTGCCGTCTGCCCCGCGGGGAGGTAACGGAGGCCGCCAGATTCCCCGGTTCTGCCAAAAGCATAGCAGTCTATTGGCGGCGCCCCTGGAACAGTTTGTACAGTCCGTAGACGCCGGCGCCGGTGAGGGCGACGCCGGCGAGGGACGGGCCGCTGGACTCGTGCTGCCGGTGCCGCCAGCCGCCGCCGCAGCGGTCCCAGCCGCGCTCGCCGCCCTCCTGCGGCCGCCTGCTCCACTGCTCGTCGTCCCGCCGCCACGGGCCTGGCGCGTGGTGCGGTGCCGCTTCCCCAAGCCGCCGTCCGCCGCGCTTCTGATCGGCGCCGCAGCGGGACCAGGGGCGGCGCCGCGGCGCCGCCTCCTCCGGCCTTGGTCCGGCGCGCTCCTCCTGTTCGGCTCCCCAGGGGGACCAGGGGCCGCGGCGCAGCGCCTCGTCATAGGCCGGAGCCCAGCGCGGCTCAGCGTCCTGCCGCCTCCAGCCGTGCTGAGGCCGCTCCGACGGCGGCCCGGCGTCTCGCGGGATCCACGGCCCACCCTGCCACTGGTCCCGGTCAGAGGTCATCGCTGCCCGCCGGTGACGCCCAGCTATCCACTGACAAGGGCTGACCGCTCACTGCTGACTCCGGCCGCTCTCCCTGCCGAACGCTGCGCGCTCACACCTGATCGCCGTTACCTGGCACGCAGTGGTTTCTGGCTGCCCCGCCGCCGCTGCCGGTCCGTGAATGGCTGGAGTGGCGCCGCGCCCCCGGCATTTAACTGGCGCATGGCAGCTGACGTAATCCGTCGGCTGCGGCGGCGGCGGCGGCGGCGGCGGCGCGGCAGCTGACGACACAGCCCGCCGGGTGACGCTGACTTGCAGAAAAGGTGGTCACCTGGGGGAAGTTTCGAGTGGAGGTGGCCCCCGGCCACCGAACCTCGTGGACTTGTTATCTCGAGAGTTGATGCGACCAACATCAGTCGCATGTGCAGTGGGGTACACCTTACGTGCATCATTTATCCAGCGTGATGATGATACATTTTAAATCCATGTATTCTGTGAAGGGTTTTAGCTATTTGGATGCTGTCTGCAGTTTAGTAACTTTTGATAGTGAGGTAATTGGATGCCCAAAGCTTGGTATGCGATTCCCACATCCCCAAGCACATTGAATGTTTGCCATATTCACTATTTGCAAGAATTTCAACGTATATACTTTGAAACAGCTTTTGAAGGGCTTAGTTGTTAATTATTAGCCACTCGTGTAGTAGAAAACGGTACATTCAAAACTACGTTTCCAGCTTTCAGACAAAGCAGAAAATGCTTTCAGTGAACTGTATTTGAGCATACACGGACAAATACCGACCTCAGGAGCGAGACCTGATCAAGAGCAAGC